GGGACTCTATTGACTGGGTAGATTCAATGAAAGCCATGTCTGACAAAAGGCCCTGGAGGTATCTGGGTTGTAGGTGAACCTCACCCATCCTTCCTATCTTCCTGTACTCAATTCTCCCATTTTAACCTGAAATCTGCGCCTGAATCCTGGAGATGGCTGAAGGCATACTGTCCTCCGGGGATGCCGTGCAATAAATGTCTTATTTGGCATATGGGGATTCTGCACTGGGGCCTGGGACCTATCATCCCAGTTTCAGTTCAGACGCCCAGAGGAAACCCAGGTAGGTAAGGGAAAGCCTTCTTCAGCTCGGTGGGCATACTGAAGGGTGGTTCTGTCCTGTGGGTCGAGTGACCCCAGAGGCCTTAGGCTCTGGGTGGTGGCATGCGCGAGGCCCACTGAAACACAGGTGGCTTCAGGACTTGCTCTGCCATCCACGCCTTCCCCTTTCCCCACCTTTCCCCATCTGTGAAGTGCCTACATTTATAACACTTCAAAGGAAATCTAGAAGGTAGATTTTGACAGCCTTTTCCACATCTGGGTTTGTAACTTCAGCTTATTTCCTGACTTTGGGGTCTGGCTCTTTTGACATTGGCAGAAAATAATGTGACCGTAGCTCATCCATCTGCTCTGCGCCCGCAATTCCAGCTGCTTGGGAGGCAGTTCCGGCCGGTTTGGACAAGGCTAGGGACACCTTATCTCCAAAACACAGCACAAAGGCGAAAGGGGTGTGGGTCAAGTGGGAGAGCTCCACTTCTGACAACACAGTTCTAAACAATTCTTAAACCACAATGGAGCCAGGTGCTGTGGCTCACTCCCATAATAACCCTACTCAGGAGGATGAGATCTAAGGATCACAGTTTGAAGCCAGCTGTGCCAGACAACTTTCAAATCCTATTAACCAGCAAAAAGATGCAAGTGGGGTGTATCTCAAGTGGTACAGCACCATATACGTGGAAAAAGTCAAGCAAGAGCTCAAGGCCTTGAGATTAAGCTCCAGTACTGGCAGGCGCACGCGCGCGCACACACACACACGCACACACACACACACACACACACACACACACAAAGATCGAATCCAAGTAAAATTCAGTAAATTACAAAACAAATTGGCATGTTCCTAAGCAATCCTGACTCAAATAGAAAGCCTTAGGGCAAACAATGAAGAGCTGATTTGAATGAAAAGGAAAACTTGGACATAACTAAAACAATGCTGAAATGCACTATATGCATTAGAAATGGCCAGGGCACTGGTGGCTCATGCCTGTAATCCCAGCTACTCAGGAGGCTGAGATCTGAAGATCAAGGTTAGAAGCCAGCCCATTTGGTAATCTGTGAAGCTCTTATCTCCAATTAACCATCAAAAAGCTGGAAGTAGAGGTGTGATTCAAGTGATGAGTGCTAGCCTTGAGCAAAAAAAGTTCAGGGAAGTCAGGCACCAGTAGCTCACTCCTGAAATCCCAGCTACTCAGGAGGCTGAGATCTGAGGATTGAGGTTCGAAGCCAGGACAAGCAGAAAAATCCCCATGAGACTATTATCTCCAATAAACCACTCAAAAACCTCAAGTGGTGGGGCTGGGAAGTTGGCTCAGTGGTAGAGCGCTTGCCTTGCATGCCTGAGGCCCTGGGTTCGATTCCTCAGCACCACATAAGCAAAAAGAAAAAAGTCGGAAGTGGTGCTGTGGCTCAAGTGGTAGAGCGCTAGCCTTGAGCTGAAGAGCTGAGGGACAGCGCCCAGGCCCCGAGTTCAGGCCCCACGACCGGACCCCTCCCCCTCAAAAAAAGAAAAAGTTCATTTTAGCCGGGCGCTGGTGGCTCACGCCTGTAATCCTAGCTACTCAGGAGGCTGAGATCTGAGGATCGAGATTCAAAGTCAGCCCGGGCAGGAGAGACTGTGAGACTCCTATCTCCAATAAACCACCAGAAAACCAGAAGTGGCGCTGTAGCTCAAGTGGTAGAGCGCTCGCCTTGAGCTGAAGAGCTGAGGGACAGCGCCCAGGCCCAGAGTTCAAGCCCCACAGCTGACAAAAAAAAAAAAACCCTCTAGTGGTGCTGTAGCTCAAGGGGTAGAGCACTAGCCTTGAGCATAAAGAGGCTCAGGAACAGCAACCAGTCCTCATGACCAAAACAAAAAAGTTCAGGGATAATGAATGCCCAGGCCCTGAGTTCAAACCTCAGGACTCGCACAAAAAAAAGAAAAAAAAATTTTGAAATTAATAATCTAAGTTCCTGTCTCAAGAAAACAGGGCTGTGAATATAGCTCAGTGGTAGAGACAGAGATAATGCACATAGGGCTCTATGCATAGAACAACCAAACCAAAATAAATGGACAAAATCCTTCAGGAAACCCAAAGGAAGCAGATGGAGGAAAACAATAAAGAGCTGAAAAGTACAGTAAGAGAAAAACTAGAGAAACAAAAGAGCTACTTGGAACAGATAAATCAAATCACAAACATCAAGATCAACAAAGCAAAGACAGATTTATTACCAGGAGTGGACGATGCAATTTCAGGAATGAGGGACTATCGCTACAGACCCTACAGGTGCCGCAGAACGGTGAGCTGCTCTGCACAGTTGACAACACAGACAGACACATGTACTCTTTGAACACAGGCAAATCCTTCAATATGAAATGACGAGGATATGAGTGCTTTTCTTTTTTCCTTTTTAATCTAAGTCTGATACCGAGACTTGAACTTGGTACCTCCCACCAAGTCTATCACTCATTGGCTAGCACTCTACAAACTGAGCTGCACCTCCAACTTCAATTCTTAATTCAAACTTGCACCCCCACCCCCAAACAAAAGCAAAACCAAAGTCCCAGCCCCAGATGCTCTGGATAATTCTACTAAACATTAACAATATTAAGTTTACACAATTGTACCAAGAAAATGGAAGGGAATACTTCCTAATTTCTTTTATGAAGCCCAAATTAACCTTTTTTTTTTTTTGGTCAGTCGTGGGGCTTGAACTCTGGGCCTGGGCGCTGTCCCTCAGCTCTTCAGCTCAAGGCGAGCGCTCTACCACTTGAGCTACAGTGCCACTTCTGGTTTTCTGGTGGTTTATTGGAGATAGGAGTCTCACGGTCTCTCCTGCCCGGGCTGGCTTTGAACCGAAATCCTCAGATCTCAGCCTCCTGAGTAGCTAGGATTACAGGCGTGAGCCACCAGCGCGCGGCCAAATTAACTTTTCAAATTGTGGAAAATAGAGTGTCTGAGCCTGAGTGAAAGTTACTCATACAATGAAATGACTTAACAGCTTACTGATGTGACAATGATAAAATCCTTGCACTTAGAAGTTCCCAAGATAAATGGAGTAGGCAAATAGAACATCAGGCCAGTGGTATCAAGTAGCAGGGGAAAAAGTAGACCCCAATAAAGTGTGCCAGAAAGCACATACCCAAGGAGCCAAGCTAATCACACGAATGTTTTATTATATCTGGTAAAAACAATATATATACATGATAAAATATGCATGCATAACACACACACACACACACACACACACACACACACACTTTCCCTTTAGGAGGACCTGGGTAAAGGACACACAGGATACATTGTTTTTGTTGTTTGTGAAGTGCATGCTGGGGACCGAATCCAGGGCCTCTGGAGTGCCAAACACACACTCCACACTGACTACACTCCTACCCCTCTCAGCATCATTGTCTATAAGTGTATGTGAACCTATAATGACTTTAAAACAAAAATGCTTAATTAAAAAAACAAAAAAAATCCCCAATTTTAATTTTAAGCCAGAAAAAGGTGAAGAAATTAAACTCAAAGAACATGAAAAACATCAGAACAGAAATAAATGGGCACAGTAAACAAACACAGAGAAAAACCAATGAAGTTAAATTTTGGTTCTATGTACCTGGGCAACCCCTCTGGAATTTGTAAGAATTGCCAGCTATAGCTGGGCAACAGTGGCTCACTCCTGTAATCCTAGCTCCTCAGGAGGCTGAGATCTGAGGATCATGGTTCAAAGCCAGCCCAGGCAGGAAAGTCCATGAGACTCTTACCTCCAATTAACCACCAGAAAACCAGAAGTGGTGCTGTGGCTCAAGGATATTACCCAGGCCGAATTCAAGCCCCACGACTGACAAAAAAAAAAAAAAAAAAAGCCAGCTATTAATAAGGCATTTTTCTTGCAGTTGTAAAAAAAAAAAAAAAAATGGTTCTATGGAAAAGATTAATCCATAAAAATAAGAAGACATGTCGAGTGCCCGTGGCTCACACCTGTAATCCTTGTTACTCAGGAGCCTGAAATCTGAGGATCTTGGCCGGGGCAGGAAAGTCTGTGAGACTCTTATCTCCAATAAACCACCAAAAAGCTGAAAGTAGCACTGAGGCTGTGGCTCAAGTGATAGTGCTAGCCTTGAGCTGAAGAACAGTGCCCAGGCCCAGAGTTTAAGCCCTACTATGGACAAAAAAAAAAAAAGTGCATTACAAAAATGAATGAAGAAATGAGCTACTAGATCTTGCAGACCTTAATAGGTAAACATTTTTATGTCAAGTTGGGCGCTGGTGGCCCATGTCTATAGTCTGAGCTACTATGGTTGTAATACTAGCTGAGAGATCTGAGGGTTGAGGAGTTCAAGGCACTCAACACTGTACTTGAAAAGATGTGTTTACTAAAGAATGTTCCCTTGCTTCCTTCCCCTGGGAGCTTCTTCCTTAGCCTTCTCAGTCCACAATGCCAGCCCACCAGAGTTCAGTTCTGTCTTCTGGCTTTGTGGCTGAGAGATTCTATCAAGATTAGGGATGGTGTGGGAGACTAACGCTAGCAATTCCCTTAACAAGTCACCTGTATGCACAGGAATAACTCCCCAGCCTGCACTGAGCCACAGAGGAGCTTCCCACGACACACCTGAGTGAAGACAGATGACAGGGTGGAAGTAGATGGGGCCATCACCTGTGATGAAGTCCTCCTAGGACTTTGTTACTGTTCTGGAAAGTTCCTTGAAAGAAAAGGACCAAAAGAAAGACTACTGCAACAAGAACTTTACTGGTGACACCTGTTTAATAGGTCAAAGTAACTGTACAATTCATTATATTCTTCCTGAGAATAATTTATATCCCCCGACAAACTAAAGGGAGGGTATAGTTTTCAAAATTATCTAACAGAATGGATGGTGCAAGGACCGGACATCTGAAGAGAGCCAAGTCTCCTCGTTCCGCTGAGTGCTCTCCTGGGAAGACAGATGCAATGAAGGTTATAGCTCCAGTGCTGTAAAATAGTCAACATGGCTTTGATCTTTCTTATAAATTATATAAAAATGGAAAACAGGGATGGTTCTGGAACTTCTCAATGCAGTTTGGAGGTGCTCTGGTACAAAGCATTTCTGCTTCCAAGAGAAATTACATTGCTACAAAAACTGGCACATAATTCTGGTGAAAAAGACAAGTTTAGTTATGTCCTACAGCTAGTTCCCAACCCAATGCTTCAATATCCACATGAAAGTAAAAGGTGGAAGATAAGAAGGTGGTAGTTTTCTTCTCAAACAACTTGAGTCTTCAAAATATAGCTCTTCTTTTCTTTGTCTGCAACTGGGATTAGCATATTGCAGCAGTGTTTCACTCCACTCAGCAATGATGGAAGAAGGATCGCCAGCCCCGTTTTCCCCTCTCTTGCAGGGGAGGTGGTCAGGAGTTAACATGCCGCCCCAGCCATCTCCACGAAAACGCACCCAAATGCTAACAGCAACTGTTTTCATGGTTCTTGAAAGCTTCTCAACGTGCCATTTTCACTCTCAGGAAAATGACACATCTTGAATCCTAGACTTTCTTCAATACCATGATTTTTTAAATTAAACAAATCCAAATCAAAATGTGGTTAAACTTATGAGGGATTTCCAACTAGCTGTGAGTGCTGGCAATCGAGGACACGGTTCATTCCTCGCTGCTGGTGGAAGGCTAGAGAACTCCTGTGGGGTAGATGTGCTCGCCGGCAGCTCAGTGAGGCCTCGTCTGTCCTAGCATTTTCAGTCTTGCTTGGTCAATGACATCCAGCAGGTTCTTGGCATCCACAGCCAGGGCATGGGCAGCAGTCAGCATCTGCTTCTTGTACTCCTGCTGCAGGCTGGTCATGACATATTGCTGTGCCAGCTTCATCTTGCCAATGAGCTCGCCCAGGTCGGAGTTGAGCAGCTTCTGCGCCATCTCGATCTGGAAGGACAAGAGAGGGTCAGGAGGGCTGCTTCCAGCAATCCTCACGTACCTTTCTCTGGGCAGTTTCATAATTCTGAGGCACAAAGTGACCTGCTGGAGGTCCCAGTGCCAGCTCAGCTCTAGCCTGGAACAAATGCCACGCTCTGGAGTTCCTATCTCATGTCATGTCTCCTATGCCAACTATGCGGAGGAAAGTCAGGGGTCACCCATGTCCCACCGGGATGTGAATGGCCACGAAGGCCCAATGTGGCCAGCAGGGTCAGTGTGCTAGGTGTGCTGTGTGTTCAACTAATTTCACCATTTAGCAATCCTTGAACAGCCAGTGTGCATGACGCACTTTGTGCTGTGCACAACCAAGCTGGGAGAAGCAGGTGCAGAGCCACCTGCAACCCACTACAAGTCGCACACACAATGTACAGAGAAGAGGGACCCTCATTCTGTCTCAGAAGGACTCCACAGAAGAGTCAGACTTTTGCTTAGACTGTCCAGGTGGACCAGCTTCAACCTTGAAGGCCTTGAGGGCCATGCCAAGGTCACCTTTGTCTGCTAATGTGGCACAGACCATAGGTGAGCTTTTTAGAGCTGTTCTGGAGGTGGTGGGGGTCCGAGTGGGAGGCTGTGATGAGGACCCTGAGATCCCATGGTGCGCACAGGTGGCAGCTGCATGGTGGTGCCACTGTGAAGGGAAATGAAGAGCTGTGCAGAGCTGGGCGGTGGCGCAGTCCTAACCGCAGGGCTGGCGAGGGGGTGCGCTGCCAAGGTGAAGCCTTCCTTGAAAAACAGGTGAGCCCCTACTGCACACTCAGGGCAGGAGCAAAGAGGTGGGAGGGGCCTGTGGAGAGGGCACGGGGCAGGTGCTGACCCTGTGGCATCAGGTAGCCCTGGATATTGTGAGGGCTGGCCACGGCCACGACTCCACCTGGTTCACCAGGGAGGCCAGGGTCGCAGTAGGAGGCACACAGCGTGTGTGGCAGCCGTGGGGCGGCTGCACAGTAAAGAGCAGTGATGTGTTCGAGGCTGGCAGGCGGGACACGCAGCCTGTTCACAAAACCTTCCATGAAAGGCAGAATGCAAATGTGGCAAAATGGTCACAAGTGGAGATAATGGAAAATGACATCTAAGCTGGGTGCCGGTGGCTCACGCCTGTAATCATAGCTACTCTGGAGATCCGAGGATCTCAGTTCAAAGCCAGGCTGGGCAGGAAAGTCTGTGAGACTCTTATCTCCAACGAACCACCAGAAAACTGGAAGTGGTGCTGTGGCTCAAGTGGAAGAATGCTCGCCTTGAGCTGAAGAGCTTAGAGACAGTGCCCAGGCTGAGTTCAAGCCCCACGAACGACAAAGTAATAAAAAATAAAAAATGATGCCTAGAGTTCTTTGTATTATTCTTTCAGTTTTTCTGCAGCCTTCAATTGCTTTCAAAACAAACAGTAAAAAACAAGAAGCCTGTGTGGGCTGGGCTGAAGGATGATACACTGCACTTGGAGAAGGGGGGAGGGGAAGGGGCATGGAACAGCAAGGCTGGGCCCCGCAGCGGCTCCCCGCAGCGTGGGCCTGCTGGACGGGCTGAGGCACAGCGACCACACGCAGGGACTAAGCTCAGGTTCTACATGCAAGACTACATACAGGGATTATACGCAGGACTCCACGCAGCGACTACATGTAGGACTCCCTGTAGGGACTATGTGTTCACAAACCTGCTGTTTGTGAACTGCCTAGGAGGCTACAGTGCCAAAGGTGGCAAAAAAAAAAAAAAAAAGGCAAAAAGGCAACTGCTGCTGGGAGACAGCATGTTGGGTGACCTTTGGTTTCTAAGAATCTTTATTTTTTATCTCTCTCTCACCCCCCCCCCCCCCCCCAGTGTGTTTATCTACCTATATATCTCTGGATGCTGACCCTGGGGACTGAACTCAGGCCCTGGGTGGGGTCCCTGAGCTTTTTTGCTCAAGGCGAGTTCTCTATGATTTGAGCTGCAGCTCTAGTTTTTGGTTTTGGTGATTAATTGGAGATAAGTCTCACAGACTTTCTTATCCTGGGCTGGCTTTTGAAGCTGAGATCCTTTATGACTGAGACTCTTCTATCTCAGCCTCCTGAGTAGCGAGGATTACAGACGTGAGCACAGGTGCCAGCCTTCCAAGAATTTTTAGATACTTATCACTGCTTTCAAGGGAGAACTGGTGACATCTGCAAACATGATGTCAGGAGCACTGAAGTACTGGCCTAGCCATCTGGGTACCGCCAACAGTTCCCTGGGCTCCTAGCCACTCTGCATTCCAGGTGAATGCCAGGCCTGGTGGCTTTAAAAGCAGAGCAGGTGCTGCTCCTGCACTCTGCTGGCCAAACGCAGCTGGGGCCAGTGTCAGGGAGAGGTTATCTTCAGCCTCTGCTGGGCAGCTCTCAGCAGCAGGTGCTGTGATTTGGACGTGAAGTGTCCGCTCAAGCGCTGTCTGGCTAATGTGCTCATGTGGAGGGCGCTAGGTTACTGGGTGCGTGGCATACCTTTCAAGGGGCCTCTGTCCCCACACTCTTCTCTCTGCTCACAGGCTGCTCTAAGTCAAGCAGCTCAGCTCCACCACTGTTCTCAGCTGATGTTCTCTCTCATCACAGCCCAGAAATTACACAGCCAAGCAGCCATGGGCTTACCTCAAAACCCCAAGCCCCAAGGTATTATTCCAGATATTTTGTCAGGATGACAGACTCTCTAATACAGCATCCCAGCCTCCCTGAGTTACCCATATCCCCGTCTGACCACATACCCCACTGTGCCCTACCTCTCGGTGCGTGCTGGCTGGAAGGCCAGGAATGGTTTCATCCACAGTGGCCAGTAATGTCCGCAGGGCCAAGCCAACCTCCTGCCAGACAAGAATCACAGCCAGTGTTACAGTACACAACATGCAGGGCTTTTCCTTCTCCTCGCCCGGTTTCAAGCAGATGCGTGTGCCCTTGTTTCCACCAGGCTGGCCTGTCAACTCAGGTTGGAACAAATGACACTCCTCTCCTCCCATGGGCGTACCCCACCGCCCTGGGCAAAGTGGGTCTTGCTCTGGAGCCCATGTGGGACCAGCCATGAAAAGGACACAACTACAATCAGCTTTTAATTTCATAACCATAAATTGTAAATTAAGCCATAATCTTCAATTTCAGCTTTGATTATTGTCACTTTTATGAGGATGAAATATGTAATGACCAAGACACTAAGTTAAATATTCCAATAAGATGACACTTTCTCTGGATTAGCATACAAAAGGTGTCATGCTCTATTCCTGAAGCTATGTCCCCTTAAACGAATCATATTGTGTGTGTCTCTGTGTGTGTGTGTGTGTGTGCGAGAGAGAGAGAGAGAGAGAGAGAGAGAGAGAGAGAGAGAGAGAGAGAGAGAGAGAGAATGTGTCCTGGGGTCTGGGTGCTGTCCCTGAGATTTTTTTTTTGCACATGGTTAATGGTTTACTATTTGAGCCAAAGCTCCACTTCGTTTTTGGTGATTAATTGGAGACAAAGGTCTCACAGACTTTCCTGTGCAACCCTCAGATCTCAGTCTACCGAGTAGCTAAGATTACAGGCGTGAGTCACTAGTGCCCATATTGTCCATTAATTCTTTTGTAGCTGGACTTTTTTTCCTTCTTAAACTGAAGACGGGATTTGTGAGCAGTGATTACAGAAGACTCAACACTGATTCAGGAAATGCCCATCCTAGCAGGAAAACAAGTGAAGCAGCAGAGTGATTCAAGGTGGCCTTGGATCTTGTCTTCATAGGAAGGCTTACCACCTCAAGCCTCAGGCCTGACTTTGGGTGCCTCATGATGCCTACCAACCGTCTCTCTGAATGCCCCGTTGAGTGTGCATGCATTACCTTCACCATGGGGACGTACTCCTCCGGTGGGGCTGGCTGGATTTTGCTGGACATCTCAATCACGGCTTTCACCAGGCCCGTCACGTTCTCATATACCTTGTCATTGGACCTGTCCAGGTTGGCAGTGGGAGGGGGACTGATTTCCTGGGGCTGAAGCTGACAAGACAAAACAGAAACCCATCATTTCTCTACTCTCCAGCAGGTGGCGAGGTATCACAATAATGTTAGAGGGTCTTTATGGATTTTGTCTGTGCAGGATACTGTCATCTAAGGACGACAGTAAGGGATTCATCCAAGTGATAATTATATGAGGCAGTGATTTTTACTTTGAGATCGGGTAAAGGAAAGTAGGTGGCATGTACCCACTACAGCAAAATACCCAGATGATTTCAAAGAAGTGATTCTACATCTCAGACCCCCAAATCACTCACCATAAGAGAAACAATCCATTCAATTACCTCTGAGAGTTAATCAAATTTTAGTGGAAGCTAGTTACTTGCTAAATGATCAAACATGCTACATTAATATGAAACACTTCTATTTGAGTTCCACAGTAAAAATGTGGCTCAGTCAATTGCCTACAAACCATCTGACAGGACAGAACATGGTTTCAAGATGATAAAAGTGGGGACACACAGCTCTAAGGGGAGACAGTCTGCTTGCAGAAAGCTACTCAAGTCCAAGGAGTGGGGGTGGGGGTTCCAGCCAGCTCTCTGCTGACCACTGAGTAAACCTGAGCCTGCAGGCCTCAGCTCCCTCCCTAGGCAGCAGTGAAGAAGGGCTATTGAAGCCCCAGATGCAAATATGCCCACCGGGGCCTGGGCACCGAGATGACAAATGTTAGCCATGATAATGACATAGGGCCTCTGGATGTTCCACAGTGCTTAAAAATGCAAGTTGGTTAGGACTCCACTAGGTCTAAAACCATAGCCTAACAGCCATCATGATCACAGGCCTGCTGTTGGTACTCAGGCTAAGCCTGCAAATGCCCATTCTGAACATGCAGTACTCTGGTCCAAGTAGACCGCACTCAGTTCAAGTGGGTCAAGAGTAACTCATTCCCTATGAAGATGCTCACGACTCTGTCTCCGGAAAACACACATGGTGTTTTGGTGAGGAACAAGGCAGGGGTACCCTCCCACTGGGATCCCACATACTAGCCTAGAGTTGCATGCACAGAGTGGGATGTGATTCAGAGAGATAGACAGACACACAGACACAACGTGCTTACCCTCCATGGCTATTGTCGAACGGAAGGTGAGGAAAAGTTAAAGGAATTTATCAGAGAAAGGGAAAAAAGAAAAACAATATTAATAAGGCAGCAGATAATTCCTGTACAATACATAAGCAGGACACCCAGAACCTAGCTGCAAGCCTGACCTGCACACTCAGCTCACTGGCCATGAGAGCCGCGTGTCCGCCTCTGTGCCCTGCCATGCACCTTGCTTGTTGCATAAGATAATGAGCAGGACCGCATGCAAAGCCTTGGAGGGGCAATCAGCAGGCGTGCAAGAGTCAGGAGAATAAGGCTTGTCATGAGAGAGAAGAACATGTTCAGGCACCAGACTTCCTGTGGAGAAACTGCTCAACACTCAGCTCTGGCCCACCCAGTGCCCCTGAAGTCTCTGTCTCCATGGGCAACCAGTGGCCCCCACCCTAAGACAGACAAACTCCAGGCTGGGGTTTGTCTCAAGACCTCAGAAGCTTATAGTTAGAAACAAAGTGTAAAAAAAGTAGTGAGGATTGAACTCAGGGAGGCGTGCAAGCTCACTACTACTTGGGCCACTCCCCAGTCCTTTTGTTAGTTCGGTTGCTTTTCAGATAGGGTCTCATCTTCACTTCCTCTAATCTGGGATGGGACTGTGGATCCTACCTCCCCTTCCTAAGTAGTTAGGATCACTTGTCTGTGACACTATCTGTCTTGAGGTAACTCAGACCAGCCTCAAAATCTCAATCCTCTGTCTCTGTCTCCTGAGGTAAGGTTTGCTATATAGCTCAGACTGGCCTTGAACCTGTGACTTCTGCCTATGCCTCCCAAGGGCTGAGATTACACGCTTTAAAAACACCCTTTGAGCTAGTTCTTTTACAGGTGTATTCCACCACTTTAAACTGACAAGTTTATTTATTATTTTTGTGTGCTCATAATGAGGCTTGAACTCAATCATGGCTTCACACTCTTGGTTTAACTTTTTCATTTAAGGCTGACTCTCTGCCAATTAAGCCACACTTCCACTTCCAGCTTTTTGCTAGTTAACTCTAAGGTTCTCACGGATTTGTCTGCCTAAACTAGCTTTAAACTATGATCCTCAGATCTCAGCCTTCTGAATAGCTGGGATTATAGGTGGTTATTACTGCCATTTTTTTCCTCCTCCAAACCCGAGCCCTGGCCGTGTTACGATGATAGGTCAAACAGTCAATAGGGAACCAGCACAGCGCCCTCTCTCCTGTCCTTGAGACAATTTCAAAGGAAACAACTCTTGGCATATAAGCAACAGCATCTTCAGTTCAGAAGTGCAGGCCTCTGGTGTGTACAAGAGCCCACTTATTGTACCTTATTCTCTGCTCTGAGTCATGGAGCCTCTGTGTTTGGAAATTCAGGTCTCACCAACACAGAAGGAGCAGCTTCCTGGGAGTATTAGGGAGCAAGTGTCCCTCCACAGTCCCACCAATCTCCCCAATGCCATGGCGAGGGAAGGCTTAAAGCTTTGCTTCCCGCATGAACTGTGACCCTTCGCTCCACTCTCGTACAGAGGGCACTTACAGGGACGCCCACAAGCCAGAGCTTAGTTGGAAAAGCATCTATACTGGGTTCTTGTTTCCTAGAGTGTGACATCTTGGGATTCCTTGGCTGGCAGTCAGTAAGAAGCTATCACCATCCACAGACAGCCAGTTCCAAATAAACCACTTAGGTTGATGTTTGAAGACTAGCCAGCCTGGAGGTGTGGCTCAGTGGCAGAGGGCTTGCCTAACTTGTACAACTTCTTGGGTCACTCCCTAGCACTGAGGGGTGAGGTGAGGGACCTCCAACAACCAAAAAGACCCTAAATAGCCTGTCGTTAGCTACTAAGGAGGCTGAGTCTGAAGACGGTGGTTCATAGCTAGCCTAGGCACACCAATCTGCAAGACTCTTATTTACAAGTTAGCTGCAAAAAGCTAGAAGTAGAGGCATGACTCAAGTGGCAGAGTGCCAGCCGTAAGTGAAAAGTCAAGAGACAGCATGAGGAACAGATTTCAAGTCCCAGTACTGGCAAGAAAATTAAAAAAAAAAAAAAAAAGAAAACTCCAAACAAGAAAAACAAAATGGACTATTTCTACCTGCCTGGATAAGTTATTGTTCTTTTAGGCTGCGTAATACCCTCAACTAAATGACAGAAAATGGAGAAATAAAGGCATATACTTCACATTATTTAAAAAAACCTTACTCCATATATTTCAAACAAATATATATCACTTTATTTTTCAGTCTTTATTTGTTATATTTGAAACAAGTACACTGTATCCCTACGATTTCTGCTTGCTTAATATCCTACGTTAAGAGGATTCCTAATTATACGGATCATTTACATTCTAATTGTGAAATCAATTGTACTCAAACTGTGAGGAACGAATGAACGAACATATGTCTTAATTCCACCGTGGTGCCTTTCCTACCTCACAAATTGGTTTGTCATGATTATACAAGCCATTTTGAAAGTTGACTCTTGTGCTTATGAGAAGGCAAAAATGTCCATTCACTTCATTTCTCCACTGGGTTTCCTGGAGCTGAGGGCAAGCCTGTAAGGGCTCTGGGCCCCCTGCAATAGCAGGGCACCTCCAGCTCAGCTGTGCTAGTCTAGTCCATGCCAGGCCAGCTGGGGCATGCTCTGCTCACCTCCTGGACAGACTGTGCATTGGCAGGATGGCAGCTGGGGCATGCTCTGATTCCCAAGAGGATCCCATGCCCACACTGACCACACGTCACCCCATTGCTCTGGAGATGGATGCCTTGAGCAGAGGCACAAGGCGGGCAGTCTGTGCATGGCTCAGAGTGACCCTGGACCTCTGTGAGCCTTGGCCAGCTTTGTGGAAAATATAATTGCCACCACTGTGAGGCTGACGTGGGGATTTACAGTATTGATGGAGAGCGTCTGTCACAGCATGCGGTACAGAGAAGGCACTCCATAAATGAATATTTGAAAACAAAGCTATCTAACTTGGCTTTACTCTTATGATTTAACATGCTTTTCATACAATATATACATTTCCTGTTTCCGCTTTAGTCAGGGTAGAGTATTCAGCCCAAACTGGCCTTGAACTCCTGATGTGCCTGCCTCAGCCTCCAAGTGCTGAGATTGTGAGTACTGCCATGTATAGCTGATATACTTTTGTTTTTTTGGTTAATCATTGGGCTTGAACTCTGTACCTGGACACTGTCCCCAGCTCTTCAGCTCAAGGCTAGTGCTCTACCTCTTGAGCCACAGCACTACTTCTGGTTTTCTGGTGGTTTACTGGAAATAAGAATTTCACAGCCTTTCCTGCCTGGGCTGGCTTTGAATCGTGATCCTCCTTTCTTAGCCTTCTGAGTAGCTAAGATTAAAGGTGTGAGCCACTTGCACCTGGCTTGATATGCCGTTTGGTCAGTCGTGGGGCTTGAACTCTGGGTTTGGGCGCTGTCCTTGCACTCTTCAGCTCAAGGTGCCACAGTGCCACTTGATACACCATTTTCAAAAATAACACTAAGCAGAAAAAAAAGCCATCCATATTCTAGCAATACCCTATGAAACTCAAACTGAGAAATAGAGCATATTTTCTAGCCCTGCAAATGGCAGAGGTAGAAGAGGGGATCTCCTCTTTCCCATTCCCAGAGAGAGAGCGAGCAAGCTGCCCCAGCCCTTTGTGGGGATGTAGGAGACAGAGGAGAGCCACACACAGGCATGCCTGCAGTCATGCCCGAACTTTACTCTTGGTCTGGGGAAGTTTCTGCTAGTTTGTGTGCACAGGTGCGTATGCCTATACTGGGGCTTGAATTTAGGACCTTATACTTGTTCAGTATCTTTGCTCACAGCTGGTGCTACCTCTTAAGCTACATCTCCAGCACTCTGCTGGATAACTAGAGATAGAATGTCAGGTTTTCTGCTGGGGCTGGCTTTGAACTGTGAACCTTTGGATTTTAGCTGAGTAGCTAGGATTTCAGGTGTGAGCCATCTGTTCCTGGCTCTGCTAGTCTTTTTACAACAAAATTCTTACCTGAGCGGGATAAAAGGTTTCCCAGAAAGCCATATAAACTGGGAGGCAGTGAATCCACAGAAGGTTGGCAGAAAGTCAGGATGCAACTGAGACCCTAAGACCTATCACGTTTGAAAGAAAACCAGGAAGGAGAGTTCATGCCATTCCTTTTTTTTTGGTTGTTCATGGGCTTGAACTCAGGGCCTGAGCACTGTCCTTGAGCTATTCTGCTCAAGGCTAGTGTTGAGCCAATGAACTCAGGGCCTGGGCACTGTCCTTGAGCTATTCTGCTCAAGGCTAGTGTTGAGCCATAGCTCCACTTCTGATTTTCTGGTAGTTAATTGGAGATGAGAGTCTCACAGACTTTCCTACCCTGGGCTAACTTCAAACAGTGATCCTCATATCTCAGCCTCCTGAGTAACTAGGCTTAAAGGAATGAACCATCAGTCTTCCTTTTTATAAGTTTCCCAACAGCTGGAGGCTTCAGAAGTAGCCCAGTGACTTCTGGGCCCTGATTCTAGGACATACCATCTATGGAGGTCTCAAGGACTCTACCAGCACTGAAGGCAGACAGTGCTTCCCAACCTGAGATGCCTACCTTGACACCCTCATTGTAGCTGTCCCCTGGGCTGCTGAGGCTGGCAATGCTGCCCAGGTGACTCGGGGCTCCGGGGCGTGGCGGTTTCTTTGGTGGAGCTGCAGGATCTAGAAAAGTAGACTCTCATGAACATTCATGAAGAGAGACCACATGACCCTTCCCGCTCTCTGTCACACAGAGGTATTGTTTTTTTTTCCCCCTTGTCTCCCCATTCACAATACAGACTAGGCACAGGCCTGGGCTGAGGTGTATATGGGGTAGGTTTACTCTGCCTCCTCTCTCTCTACAGTCAGTGTAAGGACACAGCCACACAGAGGTATTGTTATAACAACACACACTATGCTTGTGTTCTAAGGCAGCGTCTCTGATGCTTTCTAGCAATAAATTATGCTCCCAGCATTCTAGGCACTGTCTGGCTGTGGGTTGCAGAGGGAAGACTGTTAAAATCACCAGAGCATTCCAAGGCCACAACAGCATTCTCACGGAAAACACGCTCCTGCCAAATGATGCCAACTTTGCAACACACATTTTTCACTGACCTGGTTTACCCACAGGCTGATAGATGTGTTGGTTTCCAGTCTGAGAGAAGAGAAAAATTCAGTCAATACATCAGCGGTGTGTGCAGCACATGATGACTGCTTCCCCTCCATCATCCACCCTTGTCTCTGCTGAATAGATGGCACTGCTTAACAGTCACTGCAGTGCAGGCGTCAGGAAATTAACAGTGTTGCCAGAAGGGGGTGGAGAGGCCAGCAGGGGAAGCTCTGGGACCACATGTGATTGGGTCACATGGACTTAAATTCTTAGCTTAATTTAAAGAGCTACAACAAGCTCAGGCCTTCTCAGCATATCTCTGCTATTCTGCTTCCTCTCTCCTCTTTTCCTAGTTGAGCACAGGAAGGTGCATTCAAACAATGATGGCGAGAAGCCTGGGAATACTGTGGTACTTGTGTCCTATGGGACTACATTGTCCCTCTCCCCAACATATTCTGTGTGTAAAAACTTGATGTCACACATCTATTGAGTTCTAGGCCAAGTCAAAAGAGAAGCAAAGGAAGGAGTGACATTGACCAAAAAAGAAATATACTCATCACCTGACTTATGAAATGGTAACCCCTCTGTACAGTACCTTAATAATAAAATTATATTTTTTAAAAATCAAGAGGGCTGGGAATGTGGCTCAGTGGTAGAGCACTTGCCTTGCATGCCTGAGGCCCTGGGTTCCATTCCTCAGCAGCACATAAGCAAAAAGAAAAAAGCCAGAAGTGGCGCTGTGGCTCAAGTGGTAGAGCGCTAGCCTTGAGCTGAAGAGCTGAGGGACAGCACCCAGGCCCAGAGTACAGGCCCCATGACTGGACCCCCTCCCCCCAAAAAAAAAAATCAAAAGAGAAGACAAACTATGCCTTGACTTAGTTAGGTCTGATAAAGAGGAATAAAAAAGAATAAAAAATAAAAAGACACTAGGTGCTGGCAGTTCATGCCTATAATTGCATCTATTCTGTAGGCTGAGATCCTGAAGATTATAGCTTAAAGCCAGACTGTGCAGAAAAGTCCATATCCAAAATAACCATCAATAAGCCAGTTTGTAAGCTGGGTGCTGATGGTTCACACCATTAATCCTAGCTACTAAGGAGGCTAAGATCTGAATATTATGATTCAAAGCCAGCCCAGACAGGAAAGTCTGAGAGACATCTCCAATTAATCACCAAAAGCAGAAGTGCAGCTGCAGCTCAAGTGGTAGAGGGCTAGTTTTGAGCAAAACAACCTGAGAAGCCCCGGACCCAACACACACACACAGACACAGAAACACACGCACGCACACGCACACGGGCCAGGCTGTAGGCATAGCCCAAGAGGTAAAAGTGCCAGTCAACTGAGGAAGACAAGTGAGCACATGGTCTTGGAGACGGCTTCACTTAGGACTATTCCTCCTTAAGTCATTCACTGGCCTGCTCACTCCATTACTCACTTTTACTAGGTGTCTCACAGTGAGCAATTCATTTCTTAAGATTCCACTATACAGCTTAGGACTGGTAGGGCCATGTGTGCTAACAGAACCTGAATCTCTTACGCGGACCCTTCATGGGGGAAACCTTAACAGAACAGTTTAGGCTACTTCCCTTTAAACGCTGGAAACAATTCTAGGCACTACAGAAGCCTCAGAAAATACTCAGAGGCTAGCTTTCTGAAGCCAATTTGGGATTCCTCCTTTCTCAAAAGAACGAAATCTTGTTTGCACAAGTTTTATGTGACTGGCAACACAACCCACAAAAGAAATATGAGGGGCTGGGAAGGTGGCTCAGAGGTAGAGCGCTTGCCTTGCATGCATGAGGCCCTGGATTCCATTCCTCAGCACCACAATAAGCAAAAAGAAAAAAGCCGGAAGTGGTGCTGTGGCTCAAGTGGTAGAGCGCTAGCCTTGAGCTGAAGAGCTGAGGGATAGTGACCAGGCCCAGAATTCAGGCCCCACGACCGGATCCAAAAAAAAAAAAGAAAAAGAAATATGAACAGTTAGCAAACAATAGCCTGTGTACAGACAGAGTAAATGTGCAAAAGTATTTCTTTAGGTCACAAAGAGCCTGACTTACTAATAAAAAGCCTCTCTCAATAGTGAGGCAGGAAACTCTGTATCTCTAAGAATTCCATATACAGCATATGTGAGTAGTCCTAGCTAGAATGTGTGCTTTATTCCTAGAATACAATATTGGCTCATCTATCAGCCATGCTGCATGCTGGGTATCTTGGGACACGGCGCTGCTGGCCCATTCGAGTGTGAGTGAAGCCCGGGGAGCCGCAACAGCGTCAGCAAGGACTCACTGGGCCCTGAAGACTCCCGTCTTCCCGGTCGATACTGCCTCGGGAGAGCCTCACGTCAGGTTTCTAGAAAAATAAAAACAACTTCATTTTTTCTTTGAAAGCCACTGACAGTCCTGATGGTCTAAATGAAATAATCTCCTCCGGTAGCACATCTGTCCTCTGTTACCACAGCCTCCCAGCTTCCTGCCCTGCCCTGATGGTCTTGCAGTAAAGCACTGCCTTGCGTTTGTGCTCCCAAGTTTGACTGTTCCTGCCCTTCAGGTTAACATCGGATAAGCCCAAATTTCATTGCCTTTTTCTTCTCTTTGTTGCTGAGGACTGAAACCAGGTCTTTGCTCCTGTCAGGCAAGTTTTCCACCATTGGGCTATACTCCACTCACTGTGCTAATCTTTTTTTTTTGCCTGTCCTGGGGCTTGAACTCAGGGCCTGGGTGCTATCCCTGAACCTCTCTGCTCAAGGCTAGCGCTCTACCTCTGGAGCCACAGCACCACTTCCGGCTTTTTCTGTATATGTAGTGCTGAGGAAATGAACCCAGGGCTTCATGCATGCAAGGCAAGCACTCTACCACTAGGCGACATTCCTAGCCCCATCTTATATTTAAAAGACTGTTTCTTTTTGGTGCTGGATTTGATGTGAGGGCCTTGTGCCAAATAGGCAGGCATTTTATCACTTGAGATATATCCCCAGCACTTCTTTTTTTTTTTTTGGTCCAGTCGTGGGGCCCGAACTCTGGGCCTGGGCGCTGTCCCTCAGCTCTTCAGCTCAAGGATAGCACTCTACCACTTGAGCCACAGCACCACTTCCAGCTTTTTTCTTATGTGGTGCTGAGGAATTGAACCCAGGGCCTCATTCATGCAAGGCAAGCGCTCTACCACTGAGCCACCTTCCCAGCCCAATCCATTCCTACTTTATAGACATCTTATACAACCTAAGGTGATTTGCTGCAGTATCTCCGCTGTGTGCCACAGCCTGACAGCCAGCCCCGAGGTCAGGTGTGGAATTCTCTACTGTGTCAGACCTCAAAGCACTGTGCACCCCAGTGCCATCTGCATTTAGGACTTCCAGGTGAGGGGTATTTGGATTCATGTTCTAGTTTGAGTGTTGTAACAAAAAAAAAGTATCCACAACTCCCTGAAAAGGCTTCCACAGCCCCTCTTCCCTGCATGCTACACGAGTGCGGCTAGGCTTGCTTTGGTGCCCTTCAAACAGAAGGCAGCCCGGCGGACGCAGAACCCCGATCACGCATGATGTAGGGCCCAGCCGCACAGAGAGCCGCAAGAAATGGAAAACGCTGTTCATGTCAGAAAACACTGAATCCACACAGGCCGGTTATTTCATTCTGTTAGTGTTTTTGAAGGGAATTTGGGGTCTGTTGTTTGTTTAGAGGCAGCCCAGGCTAGCCTCAACCCATGTCTGCCTGCCCAGCCTCCCAGAGCTGGAATCACTACTCACGGCCACCATGCCTGGCTTCAAATGTTTTCTTTCTTTAACTCATTTATTTATTTATTATTTATGTTTTGGGTCCGGTTGTGGGGCCTGAACTCTGGGCCTGGGCGCTGTCCCTCAGCTCTTCAGCTCAAGGCTAGCGCTCTACCACTTGAGCCACAGCGCCACTTCTGGCTTTTTTTCTTTTTGCTTATGTGGTACTGAGGAATTGAACCCAGGGCCTCAGGCATGCAAGGCAAGCGCTCTACCACTGAGCCACCTTCCCAGCCCCTCCCCAGCACTTCTTGCTTTAGCTATTTTCCAGATGGGGGATTATGGGTGTCTATCACCACCACCACTACATGCACACGCACACGCATACACACACACAGATGGTACTGGCCTTTGAACTTAAGGCCTTACTTGCACTTGCAGATAATTTTGACACTTGAGCCATGTCTCCAGCCTCAGTTTATTTATTTATTTTATTTTATTTTTTTGGGTCCGGTCGTGGGGCCTGAACTCTGGGCCTGGGCGCTGTCCCTCAGCTCTTCAGCTCAAGGCTAGCGCTCTACCACTTGAGTCACAGCACCACTTCCGGCTTTTTTCTTTTTGCTTATGTGGTGCTGAGGAATGGAACCCAGGGCCTCATGCATGCAAGGCAAGCGCTCTACCACTGAGCCACCTTCCCAGCCCCCCTCAGTTTATTTTTGAGATAGGGTCTCACTTTTTCCCCCCGCTTCAGTTAGGGGGCTGAACTCAGGGCCTGGGCCTTGTCTTTGAGTTCTTTTGCTCAAGTCTAGCACTCTACTCACTTTGAACCATATCGCCACTGCTAGTTTTCTTGTAGTTCATCAGAGATAAGAGTCTCACAAACTTTCCTGCTGAACCGTGATCCTTAGAGCTCAGCCTCCTCCTGAGTAGCTGCAATTACAAGTGTGAGCCACCAGTACCTGGCTTGTAGCTTTTTTCCTATCTGAAGTTATACCTTTCCAGCTAGAACATCAGATCCCTTCAGGAGGGGTCACCCAAGCCACTGTGTGTCATTTATAAAACAAAGCATTGTTTTGGCTCACAGTACTGCAGCTTGGAAAGTCCAAAAGCAGTATCAGTAACCCCATAGCTTGTTGAAAGCAGTCAGTCAGTGATGGATTCTGCTCTCACAGATACCACTCTAGAAAATATCAAATGTGCCAGGCACCAGTGGCTCATGCCTATATCCTATCTCATTAGGATGTTAAAACTCAATCTCAGTTCAAAGCCAGCCCAGGCAGAGTTCATCAGACTCCAACTCCAAACAAAATCATCATAAAAAAGGGCTAGAGGTATGGATCAAGTGGTAGAGCACCAGCCTAGCCAAGCATGAGTCCCTGAGTTCAAAGCTCAGTACTGCTAGGAAAAAAGAAAATGAAAGGGTCAACCTTAAGGCTTTGGACTCCAAGTCCTTTCTCCTTAGACTAGATTGCTGCTTTCTCTTCTGGAAGCCAGCAGGAAGACTGTGGCTGCCCTCTTCTGTGGCCAGCCTCCTATGGCTTGCTAGTCCTACCCCTAGCCAACATTTTCCTTCATCTAGACTGCACATGCTGTGTGAGGGGAAAACAGCTGGACTACTTTCCTTTCTCAGAACTCAAGTGGGCTTTATACAGATAAGACTTTTTCAATTAAAAGTTAAGTCCTTTTTTTTTTTTTCCAGCATAGTACCACATTAGAGAACTACTGTGAACACAGTAATAATAGTAACAACAACAACAACAATAATAAAAAACAACTAACTTACTCTATTTTTAAGCAGTGCCTGATAGAAAAGTGAGCTCTCTCAACAGCATTCTGGAAAATTGGTCAGTGGATTCCCTGACATACTGCTATCTCACACAGGCTACCATCTAAGACAGTAACAGGTCTGCTGAAAGGTTTGCTGTCTTGAGGCCATGTAACCTTGAGAAGGATCCTTGGGGCTGCTGTCATAGAAATCAACCTGTGACATATGTTAGCGGAGGGATATCTGAACTGGAAGGGACTCAATTAAAAGCAACAACCACAAAATACAGTGTGAGCTCTGAAAACAGAAGACACAACAACTATCTGCCCTAACTCAGGAGTAAAACATTGGTTACCACTACTGACAAGCAAAGTGATTTTCAAATTAACAGAGCTTGTGTCCCAGGGTGCAGAGCTTGGTGGCAGTGAACTCTGAGCACCTAGGCCCGGAGTTCAAGCCCCATGACCAAAAAAAAAAGGCTTGCATTTTGAATGCTTTAAAAATGCCCTGCCCTAAAAGGGTTGTTGGCTCAAAAGCTCTACTTCAGCAGACTCAGCATCTTGGCGAAACAAGCCCACTCACCCAGCCCAGGCTCTAATGCCCGAGCAGCAAACTGAAAGCAGGCTTCCAACTGGGGATCAGGACCTGAGAGCCACCTGCATTATGTATGCAGAATCTTCCTAAAAGTAGCTGAGTTTTCTCAGTGTTTCATGTTGGTCCTTGGCAGAAGCAGCCAGAGGTATTGGGAGGCCACAAAGAAACTCCCCCAAACACACAGGTGTATGCGCATGGCTGTGGAAGAGTCCATCAATGCAGACGAAGACAGACCAGGGGCTCCCTCCTCTCTGCACCTGTCACCACCCGAATCCTCTTGCACTTGAGAGAAGCCATGTGCTTTAACTCAGGAATGAAGACGCAGGTGCCAGAATCCAAATGTCAGCGGGTCTCAGAAGGGACCCTGGAGTACAAGAGTCTGCTGCCCTAGTCTGGTCCCTGGGGCCACAATCTTGAGGTGGCCCATACACATGGGAATACCCACAACTCAGTGCTAAGTCAACTGCAACAAGTAGTTCACAGACACAACATAGACAGCCTGGCACAACGGGAGTGGTACACAGCCATGAAAAGCATTTTATGAGGGGTGCCAGCATCAGGACTTGAACTAAAGGCCTTGCACTCTAGCTCAGTTTTCTTGCTCGGGCCTCCAGCCTGACTTTTTGCTGGTTAACTGGAGAGAGAATCTCATAGGCCTTTCTACCTGGCTAGCTTTGAACTCCAGCCTCCTGTAGCTAGGATTACAGGCATGAGTCATTGGGGTCCAGCTGTAAAAATATATGTATGTATTTGTGTGTGTGTGTGTGCGTATGTACACAAACATTGCAGCTGAGCCTAAGGCCTTGTGTACTGGTGGATTTTAATACAGGAAAGGAGGGATTCGATTGGATTTTATAGATTGCTATAGTTGTGGTGTGCAATTCAGATTAGAAGAAATAAAATTTCAGATTTAATCTCAACTTAAAATATCTAAGCCAAATGCTTCCATTTGCTTGTTCTAGGCATCACTCCCCCTTTGCCCTCCTCCTGTCTCCTCACTCTCCTCTGTGGAGTTATGAGCACCCACCTGGAACTCACCGGTCTTGACTTCCTCCTCCTCGCCTATGCCCATCTGCCATGCGACCTCCTCAACCCAGCTCCTCCCTGAACTACAGGTTCTATTTATTTTTGTGGCTTGAACTTGGGACCTCGTGCTTTTGGCTGGCTTTCTGGCTTAAGGCTAGCACTACACTACCTACACTTTCAGCTTCTATGTGTGTGCTGGCCAGTCCTGGGGCTTGAACTCAGGGCCTGGGCACTGTCCTTGAGCTTTGTTGCTCAGGGCTAGCACTCTACTACCTGAGCCACAGCTCCATTTCCAGCTTTTTGGTGGTTGACTAGAGATAATGTATGTCTCACAGACTTTCATATTCTGCTTCTAGAAGTATTAGTAGTTTTGACTCTAGGATGCCATTAGAGTATTATGAAACGTGATGTGGATCAGGTATGTCATTAACTTTCTAGGAGTTAAGAAACATTGAATTAATTCTGAGACACACATGGTCCAGCCCTTAAAGGGTTAGGACAAAGGATTCCTCTCAGGGTGATTGTGAATACTGAGTAACTTCAGATAGAAAACAATGTCAATTGTTGTGTATGGCAGCAATACTGAGACTCTTGCTTGTTGCCTTATTCTTTTCTGTCACCTTTCACAAGGGTGCGTGTTTAGTAAGGGCACTTTGTCCTGAATGGGGTACACATGTAATGGCTGAGACATAAAATGAGTTTTCTTGTGGGTGTGCCCCAAGACCTCCTGGGGAGTCCCACCAAGTGCACTGGCCACCTCCACAGGACAGAGTGCTCCATCACCCAGAGTGTGTAAGGTGTTTAATTTAAAAGTGTAAGGCAAGAAATCAAAGTTTTGTATAACCAAGTTGAAGTTGGAATCACACCTTGATCCTTGATTAATCTGACAAAACACTGTTTGAAACCATTGATTTAAAGGTCTTATACTATTTTTTGTTGTTGTTGGTCCTGGGGCTTGAACTCAGGGCCTAGAGGCTACCCTTGAGCTCTTTTGCTCAAGGCTAGTACTCTACCACTCTGAACCACAGCACCACTTCTTAACTTAAAGGTCTCAAGTCAGGTTAGGAACAGGAACAGGCTCCTGCTGGAGTCTGATTCTTGACATTTCACCTACACAGAGCTGGCATTTGAGAATGCCGGCTGAACTGAAGCAAGGGGAGCCAGATTTGGACTCCTCAGGTACAGCAACCAACTAAGCTTTTGTGGAGGCAGTGGAAATCCAGCTCCCTCCAGCCACAGTTCTTTCCAGGTTTGAAGGGGAGTAGACAACAAGTTCCCAGAGGTCCCAGTTCTGAGGGTGATGATGAGTCTAAAAGAACATTTAGGTGTATGAATAAACAACGTTTCCTTCTCTCCCTACCACTTCCTCTCTGTCCCCAAGGGACTTCTGAAAGGGGTTGTTGATAAGGGCTATGTAAAGAACACAATTCCTATCCCTGAGTCCAAACACACTGGAAAGGGGAGTTGTACCTGTCAGACAATGCTGCAAAAGGACCTCAGGAAGGTAGTTTTTACCACGTCATATGGGATTGCAATGCAATTATTTTATGTTCATGTTGACACTTAAGTTGTAGTCCTTTCTGCATAAACAAGGAATGAAAAACAACAAAAACCACAGAAATGCTCTCAGCCCTAATGTATGACAAAATCTTAAAAAAGGATTCCTAACTCAACACACATTTTCCCTATGATCCAGCCATGCTACTTCTCGGCAACTACACAGAATCTCACAAGCCAGGGTACTGTGAGGACACTTGTACATCCATGCTCACTGCTGCGCTATTCACAATAGCCAAGTATGGTAACAGCCCAGCTGCCCTACAATAGACGAGTAGATCCAAAAAACGTGGTACCTATACACAGTGGAATTTTACACAGCTGTTATGTCATTTGCAGGGAAATGGATGGACCTAGAACAAATCAAGTTAAGTGAGGTAAGCCAAGCTCAGAGAGGCAAATGGCACATGTTTTCTCCCATATGCGGAAGCTAGATCTAAAATACATCAGGACATGATAAATTATACAGGACTCTGGGCATTCACACACTATGAGATCAAAGGAGGACACTCTTTTTTTTTTTTTGGTCCAGTCATGGGGCCTAAACTCTGGGCCTGGGCGCTGTCCCTCAGCTCTTCAGCTCAAGTCTAGCACTCTACCACTGGAGCCACAGCGTCACTTCTGGCTTTTTTCATTTTGCTTATGTGGTGCTGAGGAATTGAACCCAGGACCTCACGCATGCAAGGCATGTGCTCTACCACTGAGCCATCTTCCCAGCCCCAAAGGAGGGCACTCTTAAGGGAGGAATATAAAGGTACAATACCTATGTGCCTCTGATCATATAAAGTAATATTTATCAAAATGAATTCCAGGAAATGGAAACAAGGCTTTCTCTTTGTTGTTGTTTTTATTTTCTTTTTGTCTTGTTTGTTCCTTGTATCCTTTGTCTTTGGGAGGGTAAGTGGAGCGGCACAGAAGTGGAGGAACAAAGGATGAACAAACACAGACGTGGTACTCACTAGACATTATGTTGAAAATGAACTATACAACTTGTGGGTGGGGATGGGAGGGAAAACTGGCAGAGAGTGAGGGCAGGGGTGACACTGTCCAAAAAGAAATGCACACATTACCTGACTTATTGAACTGTAACCCCTCTGTACCTCACCTTTATAATAAAAAAAACCTGGTTCCTAAAATATAATTAAGAAGCTGGGTGCTGATAGCTCATGCTTGTAATCCTAGCTACTCAGGAAATCAGACAACAGTGGTTCAAAACCATCCCAGGCAAGGAAGTCTATGAGACATTTGTTTATTTCCAATTAACTACCAAAAAGCCAGAAATAGAGCTGTAGCTCAAGTGACAGAGCACTAGCCTTGAAAACAAAAGTGACAGTGCCCAAGCTTGGAGGGGAGGGGAGGAGAGGGGAGGGAAGGGGAGGGAGAAAGAAAAAAAGAAAAGAAAGGAAAGAAAGAAAAGCGGACCACAGTAGCTCATTCCTGTAATCCTGGATACTCAGGAGGTAGAGGATTTAGGAAGATAATGGCAAAAAGTTCATGAAATCTCATTTCAACCAGTAAAAGCTGGAAACAAAAATAGGAGAATCACGACCTAGGATAGCCTGGGAATAAATGCAAACAAGGTCCTATTTGAAAAGTAACTAAGAAAAAAGGGGCAGGGAGCTTGGATCAAATGGTAGAACTGCCTAGCATGGGCAAGGCTGGAGTTTAATCCATTATACTGCTCCCGCCACCCCCCTCCCAAAAAAAAAAAAAACCCAGAATGACAACAACAAAAAGTCACAAAAATGAAAATAACTGAGCTGAAGGCATGGCTCAAGTAGTAGAAATGCAAATAACACTTACTTTAGTTTTGAGAGACCAGATATAAAACTAATTCCTCTGCATTGGAAAATGGTTTTATAATAATCCCAAGTAGCACAGTAACTTAACAGGGTTTAAAAAGTGGAAGAAACTGCTCAGGAACACAATTACCAGAAATCTCTCCTCTTTTTCCAGCCAGCGTTGATCTTCTTCCATTTCCTGCTGTTGTCGGATCAACCGCTCTTCCATCAGGTGGGTGGGTAGCACTTGCCCGATGCCTCGCAGGTCCAAGACTGCTGAGTCCTAGGAGGAGGGATAGAAACAGCATTTCCAGTCTCATGTGTCTGTTTGTGTTGTGTGCCATCCAAAATAGTGAAACAAAACAGAAAAAAAAAATGGTGGGAATAATGCTGTTCCTATTCTAGCTACTTTCTGCAAACTAAAATTTATTGTGTGTCACAGACTTACCGATAGGGGTTGGGTTCTAAAGAAATGATCTACTGGGATCATTTAGCTAGGAGGGGTGGCGCACATCTGTAATCCCAGCTACTTGGGAGGCAGAGACAGCAGGAAAGAGTTCCAGGCCAGCTGGTGAAAAGCTAGCGAGACCCTATCTCAACATAAACCCCAAGAGGAACTAGAGCTTAAGTAGTACAGCGCTTGTCCAGCAAGCTCAGGTTTAAGGCCCTGGGTTCAATCCTTAGTACTACAAAAATGGGAAAGAGAAGAAGAGGAGAGACAAGGAAAGCAAGACGAGAGAGAGAGAGAGAGAGAGAGAGAGAGAGAGAATCTAAGATTTGCAAAGAATGCAATATTTCTTACAGTAAAACCATAGAAACACCTTGAAGCAGAGTAACAAGAGTTAAGTATGATACATACATCCTAGAGAATATAAAATAGTCATTGAACATACTCTAAGAAAAAGAACAAAAGTAAAACTATGGATACTCTTTGATCCAAATAATTTTTAATATCATAAACCAGGTCTTTATTTTACCAGGCAAGTTGCATGAAACACAACATGGTCCACAGAACTGATGGTCTACCTGATTTTTTCTTTGGCTTCATGTATATATTGATTATATCCAGTTTAAGGCTCTGCCTTTTAAACAAATGAATTATGATTGTAGTATTTCTTTTAGTGAAAAAAATTCCACAAAACTACAAAACATGAGAGTAGATGTGCCTTAAGCCTCCTTTATAAATAAGTTAACAAACTGAAAGCCAAGAACATCCAATTTACCTCCATGTTGGGCTGCCACATGGATATCTCTTGAGGTCTATGATTCCATGACTCTGTCTGGTCCAGAAGAGATGCTTGGCCTGGGTAGATGCTGCCGGCCATGGCTGTGATTCCATGTGAACCAGGGTAGCCAGAGACCTGAAAGTGTTATGCAAGGTAAGATTTGGTCACAACACAGCTTTAGCATGGTCCTGCTTTGCATGTGAAACAAAGTTACAGAAAACACGGTGGTCTAGAATAATTGCCCAAGTTCAAGTTCTAATCTCTAATCTCCTGAACATCTGAGTATGTTCTCTGGCATGGCAGCTATGACCAGCTCATGACACTGAGTGCATCTACCATAATTACAAGTGTTCCTAAGTGCAGGATTTAGAATGGATGTGATCTAACACTGCCCACTTTGCATTATGGGGACTGGTGTCAAGGAATGTAGATGGCTTACAGAAGATAGTAGGGAAAAAAAAAAGAGATTTTCACTGAAATCTTCAGGAGAGGCAATTTTCTGTAGCTCCACTAGATAAATAACACAAATATGTACTATAAGATAAGGAATTACTTTGGAATTATACATTTATGGACATGCTCAGAGCAGACTACCTCTGGATACAAAAGCACCAGGAAACCCCCAAAACAGATGCACCATGCTCAGCTCTAGAACTCTTCTTTCTTGCAGAACTCACCAACAAGCACAGTCCCAACAAGAGCCAAGAAAAACACAAAACCCCTGTTGGGCTGGTGGTATGACATGCCATATCTCTACTCTGGAGGTTGAGGCAGGATTCAGGCCAGTCTGGGCTACTTACTGAGACTGTCTCAAAATGCAACCATGCAATGGCCTCCCTCATGCAACCTCAAGTAGGAGCTGATGGTGGAAAAGGTCATGTCTTCTGATTCTGACAGAGGTGACTAAGGCAGAGTTTAGTGGGACAGGAGGAGAAATCCAGGCAGCAGGGGAACAAAGGGTATCCCTTGACTCAGGATCAAGTGAGCAGAATAAAGGATAGTATGAATGGGCCTGCCAGTTACTTTCACATTGAGATAAAGCATAGTCAATCCATCTTCCCAAACATCAGTATAAAATATCCTTCAGCAAAAAGTTTCACATATGTATTAGGTTTCTAGGCATTGATTTATACCAAAACTTCTTATCTAATTAATAAACTATCAAGCAACCTATATGGAGAGGTCTGCTTATTTGAATAATAAAGACTAGATTAATAAAAATTTTACCAAATGCAAACTGCTATACCACTACTGTCTTTGTGAGAAGTGACATAGTGCTGCCAGAGAACTTTCAGAATGTTCACAGTGAGTTTTCAAATGACTGAGAGCAGGGTGCGTTCGTGCGTGCGTGTGTGTGTGTGTGTGTGTACTTTCAGAATGTTCACAGTGAGTTTTCAAATGACTGAGAGCAGGGTGCGTTCGTGTGCGTGTGTGTGTGTGTGTGTGTGTGCGTGTGCGTGTGTGTGTGTGTGTGTACCTTAGTGTACTAGGCTGAAAAAGAACACAGTTAACACCAGGAAATTTTCCAATTGGTCTTATCAACCAGGTAAGAAAACAGGCTTAGAAAGGCAAATCATACATTTTTCAAAAAAAAAAAAAAAAATTACTCTGTTCTAAGGCATTTAGGGTGGAAACCCAGCCCCATCTTCAGGGAATGCCATAGTGGGGTCAGCCAACCATAACACATGTGCTTGGGTCCTAAGCAGAAGGCGTGCTGGGCTGTACCCTGACCTTACCATGCTACCTGCAGACCTGCCAGGTGATAGAAGGGCTCTGACAGCTGTATAAGGAATGGATAGGGCTGCCACCCAATTCCTACTTGGGGCCAGCTGAGCTTTGACTTCAGTGTGGCCAAGCATTAACCCTGGGACTTTCCCCTGGCTGACACTGTACCTTCTGCTGGAGTAGTACTCCAGGTCTTTGACAGTCAGACACGGGTTTTCCTCTTGGGCTATCCACATATTTCCTGCTGTTCTGATTACTGATCATCCTGGCCAGGGGCCCCTGTGATCTGTCACACAATGACAGTTTTGTAGCCAGTGCCTGGATGGTAGTTGGATAATCAGCAGGCAGCTGATTATCTCAGAGCTGGATCTCCTAAAACATGGGTCTGAGCCACTTGCCTAGAACTACTGAAGCTGTTTGAAAGCAATGCTCTATTTCTGAACTAGTAAATAGTAAAATTCTATTTACTAGAACATACAGTGTAGACTTTTCTAGTAATACCTTCTCTCTTGGTATTATAGTACCAAGTATTGACTAACAATAGCTATGAATTTCTGCCCATATTGGTCTAAGAGGTCCCTAATCCTGAGGGAGGAATGTAGTGAGCCCCCCTTAGCAGTACTTGATTCTTGCAGACTTTATCCTTCCCTAAAAACCAAAAACTCTGTTCCAGGTCCCTTCTCCAAGGATGGCCTTATCTGACTCTGTGAAGAAGTCTGCCTGCAACTTCAACACTCCTTCCACACTTATAAACAAGGCCACTCATATGGCTTCTGCTACGGTACTTTACAATTTTACTTTTGCCTTCTAGAAAAACTGCAGTTTGGCATTCCTCTGCACACTGTGTGTCACTGGCTCCTCCTTGCCCAGTTCAAGAGCCGGTGGGAAAGATCAGGTCTAACAACTGAGGGCTGCACTGTCCTGCCTGCTTTGAGACCATGTGAGTTATGAAGACCCTCGGTGCAGGTTGATAGGCCTCTGTAGGTTTCTGCTCACCAAAATAAATATATAAGAAAATAGAAGTCTAATGTACATCTCTACCATCCAGAGTACAGAGGAATTAAGAACAACACAGTTAGACAATAACACAGCAACAATCTGTATACCTGATAATGATTGGTCTGTACCATGTGCTGAGGGCTGGGGTAAAATCCTTCACTGGATCTTGGACTAGGATAACCAGGCCTACTGGGCTGTGAAAATCAACAGAGCACCATGTAAATGATTTGGGTGACTTCTCTAAAACAGCATGATTGAAATCATATTTCAATAGGGAAAAGAACAGCATTTTAATAATGCTGGGTAAGTGGATATTCACATGAAAACATTTCAATCTCTTTTTCAGATAAACCTTAAATATAAGTACTAAAACTATGATTAATAGGAAGACATGTAAGAGATGAGCTTGGGTGAGACAGTGGTTTATTGGCTAACATACCAAAAATACAACGGGCAAAAGAAAAAAAGATCAACTGGCCACCGTCAACATTAAAAAGCTTTATGTTCCGAGTGATTCCAACAAAAGTCAAGAGTGCCTAAAGAATGTAGGAGTGCCATTCATTTGTCAGATGTGAGAGTCATATAGGAATGCACAGAGATCTTACAGGTTGGAGCTCAAGTGATGCCATCAATTAAAAAGGGCACAGCTGGTACTGTGCGTTTGTGGCCAGGAAGGGTCATCAAGACAGACCCAGTCTCCAAAGCAAGTCTCTAAGCAGGCAAAATTAAAGGTACATTGTAATGGATTACTAAGTACTGAAGGCAAAAGAGCAAGAAGGTTGTTACTGTAAACATCAGATTAGTGTGCAGGGCTGCTACGGAGCAGAACACTTAGGGATTTTGGGGTGCAGCATGTTTCTTCCAGCAATACTGTTCAAATTCTAAACAGGCAGACAATAGCATTTGCTTATTACTCAGGAGGCAGAGGTAGGAACATCATGGCCCAAGGCTGGTTTGGGCAAAACCCATGAGACCCTACTTGTAAATCCTAGATAGCAAGAAGGCAAAGATCTGGGGATTGAGGTTTGAAGCTAGCCAGGAAGATCTTTGTGAATCTTTCTTTTGTTTGCTAGTCCTGGGGCTAGAACTCAGCGCCTGGGCACTGTCCCTGAACTTTTGCTCAAGGCTAGCATTCTACCACTGAGCCATAGTACCACTTCTAGCTTTTTCTATTTATGTGATACTTAGAAATCGAACCTAGTGCTTCATGTATGCTAGGCAGCACTCTGCCACAAAGCCACATTCCCAGCCCCTCTTTGTGATTCTTATCTCCAATTAAAGCTGGAAGTGGAGTATTAATGCCACAATTTCACAAAGGAAAGGAAAGGAAGGAATGGAGAGACGCTGTGTCCAGTCACCAGGTTATAAGAACAACCTGGATGAACAGACTTGCTTGACTTCAAGGTTCTTAATGTCTCTTGTTTGAACAATCCTGCAGCTGTCATGGAATTAAAACACAGGCAAACTGGTAAACATATCAGAGGACCTTAGGTAAGATAATGAGTGGTTCATGTGTCGTCTGTAGGCAACTAAGAATGTTTTCTGTTGTTCTTTAGGAATGACAAAGGAATGTTCTCTTTTTCTCACTGACTCAAAGCCCTCCCTTCCCGCCCTGCAGATGGTATGGTCTTCTTCCTCTGCAGAGGGGCTGGGGAGAGGCACCTTTTGCCTCTGCCCTGCTGCAAGTCGCAGTAGCCGAGAAGGCAAGCCTTTGAGTATCATGATTAAAACTACAGTTGCTACAGTACTTAAAACAGTTCTTTGTGCTGACATTTATGAATACATTTCAAAAGAGCTATTAAACTTACATTATTAGTTATTAAATAGTCAATAATTTAGCTATAAAGAACACTATTACTATTTTACTTCCTAGAAAGAGGTCTGAATTGGATTAGCCATGTGAAAATACTACCTTTTCAAAAACAAATGTTGTATAAAGACCTTCTGTTGTTGTTGTTCCTTTGACCTGGCCCTGGGACCTACCTGTCTCTGAGCTTTTTTGCTGAAGGCTAGCACTCTGCCACTTGAGCCACACAGCTTTATTTCTGACTTTTTGGCAGTTAATTGGAGAGAAGAGTCTCATGGATTTTCCTCCCCAGGCTGGTTTCAAACCATGATCCTCAGGTCTCAGTAAGCCTCCTGAGTGGCTAGGATTACAGGCATGACCCTCAGAGGCCCAGCTTATTAAGGCTTCTTAATCCAAGAAAAGTGTTTAGGCCATCTCAGTAAAAATCCCTAGCCACTGTCTAGATTATAAAATGTTGTGGTCGCCCTCGTCATGTAGGAGGGGAGGTGAGAAGGGCTGTGGGGGCACATGGGCAGGCAGGGCGTGAGGGCATCATGCCTGGACATAAAAAGGAGATGAGCTTTTCCCCTGACAAACAGCACAGCCACATACTAGAAAAAGGTAGAAAATGTGCACAAAAGCCCTACCCAAGCAAACTAAACCACAGTGAATGTGGTCAGATGGAAGTAGACTCTACTTAAGTCTCACTATGGAGGCTTCAAGAAGGGAGGACGAGAGAGAAAGCAAGAATGTAAATAAAAATCACGTCTATTCTGACTGTTCTTGTCCAGCTCATACGGCCTCAAATCAAAACACAAATTAGGAAAAGAGTATACAGGGTGGCAATCTATCAAGGAGGAACAATTAAGAAACATGTTACAACTACTGTCAGGGTAACCTGAGACTAGATTTCCTCCTTGTGAAAACAGCTCTCTACACCATCCAGTGTAGGAGTTAGTTTAAGAGGAACCCCAAAGTTGGGGTGGGGACCTTGGCTACCTTGGGCGGTGCTTCATCAGACCCTCCAGAGTCCCAAGACACGGTGGCCTGTCTTCTGGATTCCATCCTCATTCGTTCTTCTTGCTGAGCTTTTTCCTCTTCCAGGATTGTGCTAGAGAAACAAGGCACTGTGTTAAGGGGGCCTACAACCAGAATCACACATTAGACCCCTCCCTAACCCATACAAAGGATGCCAGTTGGCTCCCAGTAGAAAATAACCAAAAAGAAAGGAGCTCACACATAGGGAGAAAAAAAAAATCAGGTTTCTAACCCTTCACAAGATGATTCTAGAACAGCCACAGTCCCTATCAGCAAGTTCATTTAAAGCATAGCCAGAGGTTAAGAAAGGAGTTGGTGAAAATGAAGAATGCTCTGAGCCAAACACAAAGTCCCTGAGAAATCCTAAGCAGCCCTTTCCCAAGCGTCTACCTGCCTGTCTATAGCAGACTCTTCACACAAACACAGACTCCCCGCACATGACATGAGCAGTCAGTGAGGGGGGGCCAATAACCTCTCCAGCTTGCTCAGTACAGTTAAGTTCACACTAACTTTCAGTCTAACCAGTACCTTATCTGACCAAAAAAAAAAAACAAAAGAAGATGCCACAGATTTGCAGGTGCTTCTACCCTTTGTTCTCAGCTGGAAGCACCACACTTACCAACGGCTGGGCTGTTCAGGGGTACGTGAAGTCCCACATGTCGCCGTGGCCGCCCTAGCCTCCACAGCCTCCACAGCTTTGCTGGGCGGCTTCTCAGTCCTGGCCGTTTGCCAGCCTGTAAACTCCTCAGAATGGAGCCAAGGGAGAGTCAGCTAGCTTCCCATTCCACACCGACTCCCTGGGGCTCAGCGAGGAGAGGGGGTGGGTCTTTGAAACTTTCTCCTAACTGTGCCAATAACTGGCTCTTTCCTACATGCCTGCAACCCAGATTCCTGATAGTGAGGCTCATTCAGAGTTTCTGGCCCCTGGCAGACAGAATCACTCAGGAAACAGTGACATCAACCACACTGACTCCTTCTGATCTGGGAATCTGCTCCACTGTTTGAAAAGACACTCCTGTTGCTGGCTGGAGGCTGTTCCTCTCATAGTCACCTTCTGAGTCAAGAAGACAAATTCATTTCATAACTGCTCCAAGTGAGCAAGCTAGCATTGAATAGGTTAAGGACATTTTCCCCATAAGGAAAGAGAATAATGTTCTGCTCAAAGAAACAGATCCTGTAACCACTTTTTTTTTTTTTTGGCCAGTCCTGGGGCTTGAATTCAGGGCCTGAGCACTGTCTCTGAGCCTCTCTATGCTCAAGGCTAGTGCTCTACCACTTGAGCCTCAGCGCCACTTCTGGCCTTCTCTGTTTATGTGATACTGAGGAATTGAAGCCAGGGCTTCATGCATGCTAGGTAAGCATTCTACTACTAAGCCACCTTCTCGGCCCTCCATTACCACTTTAAAGGAAAGCTTCCAGTCCAGAAAACCCATCTCCTACACAAAGTAAGACTTTTTTCTTGCTCAAGTTAGCTGATTGTGGTGGAGTAAATTAATAACAATGTTTAAGCATTCACTTCTCAGAAACTGGAGGAAAAGCTCAGCAGCTGAATACTTGCCTAAATGCATGAGGCTCTGGGTATGAAGCTCAGCACTACACACAAGAGCCAAAAACCCAACAAAAATCCCCAGAACTTTCCTGGCTGCTTCGTAAGTGGGCAAGACATGAGCTCAGGCACTGGCACTGCTGGGTACCTGGCCCATGTGCAAGGCCCAGGTGAGCCTGGCCAGGGATGTATCTGGGGAAGCAGCACAGGGTGCTCAAAGGCAGGTTCTGGCCTACTCTCAATCAAGAGCACTCATTTCCGGATGAGAAGAGGAAAGGAGCAGGAGCTACAGTCATGCTCACATGGATCAGTAAGTTACTTCTTATGAGGTATCAACCCTGGCTGGCAACTCAGCAAGCATTTGCCAAATTTCTACTCGATGCAGGGGCATTGGTCAGAGAGGTGCTCCAATTAAGGACAAAGAAAGACTCAAGAAGAGTTGTCACCAAAACACGGGAAAAGAAGGCTGTCCCAAAGGCATCTGTGGGTATACCCTCCAGGAACTGGAAGAAACTGGTCAGGAAGAAATCTAGGGAGCAGGCTGCAATGACAAACCCATTCCAGTGCACAAGTGTTACAAGAATGAAGCAAACCAATGGTTCCTGTCTACATCTGTGTATGTGTGTGTGTGTGTGTGTGTGTGTGTGTCGGGGGGGGGGGGGGGAGGGGGGGAGGAAAGGGGGAGCAGTCTTGGAGCTTGAACTCAGGATTTGGGTGCTCTCAAATGTATCACAGCTCCCCTTCCAGCTTTTTTGGTGGTTCATTGCAGCTATGAGTCTAATGGACTTTTCCTGTCCTGGCTGGCTTCAAACCATAATCCTTCAGATCTCAGCCTTATGAGTAGCTAGGATTACAGGTGTGAATCACCAGACTTACTTTTTTTCATAGATATAAATCCCTCTAAATTTATTTCCTCTTCCCTAAAGCTAGGCACAAGTTTGGCGACAAAAAGATTATGCTATGTCACATGCCTCACCCACAAAAGTGATGCCTCTTGACCACTGCCTTGAAAGGTTGTTGAAAAAAATAAAAGGAAACAATCTGTACAGAGCTCTGAAACAGGTTCAGGGCTCATCCTGTACTCTTAGCTACCTGGGAGGCTGAAATAGCAAAGACCATGGTTTGAGGCCAGACTGGGAAAACAATCCAAGAGACTCCATCCCAACCAATAAAAAACTTGGCATGAACTCAAGGGCAGTAATGGGAGGGAGGGAATGAGAGGGAAAGAGGGAACAGCTTACACTAAGCAAAAGGAAAGAAATGCACATATCACCCGATGTGGAGGAAATAGTTGTATTGTCAAAGCTCACAGAATTCACAAACATTACAAACCATGATAAACAATTTTTCTTGTGAAGGTTAAAATGTGTTTGTGATAACTATCACAATACCGTGAAATTTGTGAAATTTATGTAATCACTTAATCTCAATAAAAAATTATTAAAAAAAAAAACTTGGCATGATGGTGCACACGGGTGACCCTAGCTACATGAGAAGCAAAATTAGGAGAATCCAGGCCCAGGCTGGACCTGGTCAAAAAAGTGAGACCCTACTCAAAGAGGAACTAATGCAAAATGGGCTGGAGGAGTATTCAAGCTGTAGAGAGCTAGCCTAATAACTGCAAGTTCCAGAGTTCATACTCCAGTACCACCAACAGAGTTCTGAACTCAAAAAGCTTTTTTAAAATATAAAGAATTATGACAAATTCCCCATCAAATTTTCCCCAGTATCTGATGGCTACTATTCCTCCAAGGGGCTATAAGCCAAGTTTTTCAAATGACTTAAAAAAATCAATTAATTTGAGGTGCAAGAGACCAAATATGCTTTTTTTTTTTGGGTCAGCCGTGGGGCTTGAACTCTAGGCCTGGGTGCTGTCCCTCAGCTCTTCACCTTGAGGCTAGTGCTCTACCACCTGAGCCACAGCACCACTTCTGGCCTTTTCTGTTTATGGGGTCCTGAGGAATGGAACCCAGGGCCTCATGCATCCAAGGCAAGTACTCTATCATGAGCCACCTTCCCAGCCCCTGTAGTATAACTTCTATACACATAATTGCATCTTTTTGATAAGCTATGCCTTTGAATCTGTCCCCTCTCTCAGGGCATGATCTGAAATGGTACCTACGGGCCCTGCTGGTTCATCAGTGGGGTCCTGGGAGGGCATGGCTCAGGTTTCTACATCACAGAACCCATTCCCGAAGGCTCCTGAGGAGGATAGAAACAGGCAAACAGCAAACTCAAAGCCATGCACATTTGGGCCGATTGCTCTTTCTTACATCCCCTCCCTCTCCCTACCTAGAGAAGGTCCTATTATGCTCCCTGAGCCTCTCCTGCAAGGAAACTGCCTCTCCCTCCCTGGCCCATGTCACTAGTATTCCAGTGCCCAATAACACTGGAGTTTTCTCTCAAGCTCCCAACTCTCTTGAGGCTGAGTTACCTTTCTTGTCTACATTACCAAAGAACTACCACTTAACTAAATTTAACTCTGGAAATCGGAAATTTCTGGTTGCTTGGCTTTGGTCACATACAGACTCATTTTTTTTTTCCATTCCTATAACTGGTACAGACTCTGAAGGGTAATATACACAAGTAAGGGACAGGTGAATGGCTGAACGAAGCCCAGGCACAGAGGAATAAAACCCATGGATAGAGAAGGCTACTGTCAAGTGAAGAGAATATGGATTATTCCAGCTGACTGTTGAGTGAAGAGCACATGGATAGGCTTCCTGAGCTTGCAACTGGCCACATAGTTTGAAGGAAAGGCCTTTTGGCAACTTTCTTCCAGATGGCCACTCGAAACCCAGCTTCAGTCTGAGACTATAGCAAGGAGCTATGGTATCTGAACTAGTGATTTTTTAGAGTCATGTTCAACACCTGATGCTGATAATAATCATCAGATACTAAATCCTGATACTTTTTGGCTTACAAAAAAAAAAAAACAAAAGCAAAAACTATAGAGTACATAAAAACCAATTGGAAAAAGTAATGTGAAGCTCTTTCTCTTACTTCTTGAAATAATTAAAATACAGATAAGCTTTAAGAAGCTAATTTGGACTTTTTTTTTTCTCAAGCAATAGCAATCCTATGTTAAACAGGTCCCACTGGGCCATTTCATTTTAGATGGGTCACCCTGGTCTTAAGGCTTATGTTTCTCTTCAAATCTTCATATAGGTCCTGTGAGGCCCTTCCCACACATAGACCTTTCCAGTCACTTCCCAGCTCTGACCTTTTGAATTTACAGCCTCTCTCTTCCGCCCTTAGTTACATATTGTTGTGTGTGGGATTGAGGTGTAAGCATCTAGTGTGCACAGCAGGTCTAACTGGGCAGATAATCTTGAGCCTCAAAGCACACAAGGACAAACAGAAAACAAGTTCTTTCCATCTCTGCACTTTTGTCACATACCAGGAACTGCAAGTCAAAATGCCTATGAGAAACCCTAGTCTGTAGCTCTGAGTAGTGAAGAACGTAAATAACACATAAATTATCTGTTTTTACAGTGTGCGGCTACTCCATAGATGGAAGAAGAGGC